CCAGACACTTTCATTTAATTTTGAGTTGAATTTACTCTTAATTAAAGCAAACTGTGGTTGGTTTGTAAAAGTAGGAATGAGCTGCAGTGTGACGACCAAACACTGAAGTTCAAACACTTCATAATAAAACACTAAAATGTCTTAATCCTCAACTTTCTGTTGTAAGATTCTTGTTTATTCTGTAGTTCAAAAAGCTAAATGTGTATGTCTTAAACATCTTTAACTTTATTATTCAAAATAAGTTTTTTTTTTTTCTTTTAGGAAGAGTGGTGTTTCTTCAAAGTTCCTCCTAAAAGAAAAAGACTCAGACCTTTCACAGGCCGATGCTCCAGACCAGACCTCCTCACGAGTCACACAAAACTGAAGAACTCAAAGCCCCAGAGACCTGAGGGAGGAGCCAGACTGTAAGAGAGGAGCAGACACAGACACTTGAGAGGATTTGAGCTTTTAAGATGGAGTGTGTCCTGTGTACACTGCTCTCAGCTCTGGTTGTGCTCCTGTGTTCTTCCCCAGAGTGTAAAGGAGAAGACACAGTGACCCAGCCAACAGGAGACACCTCTGACACTCAGGGACACACAGCAACAATACTCTGTACTTTTAAAACAACTTACACAACTGATAATCCATATTTGTACTGGTACAAGCAAGAAGGACGAGGAGCTCCAAGATTCATGATACAGAAAACTAAAACATCATTTCAGTGGCTTGGGACAGTTAAATCTTCAGAGTTCAATAATGAGCGTTTTGAAGTTGAATCTGAGGGAAACTCTTTCTCTCTGAAGATCCAGGATGTGGATGTGACAGACTCTGCTGTGTACTACTGTGCTCTGCAGCCCACAGTGACAGGAAACACCAAAACTCTGAACAAAAACCTCTGGAGCAAAGACAACACAATACTGCAGTAGCTCCACTAGAGGGAGACACTCTCTGTGAAGCTTCAGACTAAACACAGACGCAGCAAAGCCAACTGTCAGTGTGAGAAACTAAGCAGACTTCAGAAAGTTCACATGAGGATCACTCAGCTGTGTTTTGGACACATGTTTCCTTTAATGGCAGCACTGCTCCTGCTTTTGTTGAGTGGTAAGTCTTATTGAAACCTATGTTCACACTTTATTACATCCACTCAACACTTACTGAAGCACAGAGCAAGAAGCAGCAGGAAATATGTTCCTAACTTCTACATTCATTTGTTTTCATGTAGGAGTCAGATGTGAAGAGCTCACTGCTCTAAAACCTGAGGTCTGCGCTTCAGAAGGCTCCTCTGTCTCTCTGGGATACTCTTATCACCAAGAACCATCGTTCAGTGATTATTTCTACTGGTATCGACAATATCCAGGAAAACCTCCAGAATTCTTGGTTTCATATTCTGGAAATGGAGGTGTACTAAAGCAGAATGTAAAAGGATTCAAGTGTAAAGTGAAAAGTAAAGTCGTGTCTCTGCTGGTGTCGTCTGCTGCAGTGGGAGACTCTGCTGTGTACTACTGTGCTGTGAGGCCCACAGTGACAGCAAACCCACAGTCTCTGAACAAAAACCTGTGAGAGAAAACAGCAGTACTCCACACGTCCTCTAGAGGGAGTCACTCCAGAGTAAATCTGGATGTCTCCTGTTCGTTCAGTTGTTTGTGAAGGTTTATGTTTTCCATCAGCCATAAGATCATGACCCTTACATACGTGAAGTTGGACCTCACACTTTCACTAAAGAGCGTTTAAACCTTAAAAGTCATCAGTAGCTCAGAGGGAGAGTGTTTATCCACAGACCCACAGGTTGGTTTTGTGATTCCAGCTCCCACAGAAGAATGCAAGACCCTAACCCGCCTTGTCACCAGTGGCTGAATGTTTGAGGCCTTAAAGGTGGAAAAAGCACCAAATAAAAATGTGACCGACGTGGCTCATTCATTCAGAAGTCTCAGGGTCTGGGACTGGATCAAATGAAACATTAGAAAACAAGACAATATAAGTTTCACTCACAGAGTTAGTTTGAGAAGACCAAGCGGTACATTCTCCTGAGATCTCCTGAGCTTTGTGTTCTGACGTGGTCCTAATCCAGTTTTTTGGCTCCTGATCTGATTTTTAAATATTTGCAATTGTCAATACTGACCCCCCCACCAGTCTTCTCATTATTCATTTTATTTACACAGGTTAGTGCAAGTATTCTATTTTGAATTTAAGCCCATTTCAATAAAATCATAACCAGATATAAACTTAACACTGAAAAATAACCCAATAATTTGTCTTGAACTCATCCACAGTGCAGCGGCTTCACAAGTGACAGAGACATTAGATGATGTTTAGTGTCACTGTTTCTAAAGACAGAGTTTTTTTTTCACCATATTATTCATGTTTGAAGCTTGTAAAAGACGAGAGGCCGTCTGCTCCTGCGCCAGATTTGTCCAAAGTCTGGTTTTCTGATTTAAGACTCCGTGAAGACATTGCAGAACAAAAACAAACTTTATCTCTGCTATAAATCATGTTCTTAGCAGCTCTAGAGCCTCCTCAGTCTGTGTGGTAAGCTGCTCTGGGCATTAGCAGCGACAGCTACGAGCGGAGGACGTTTGCCCAATTTTTTGAGACCCGCACCCGCCGTAAACCCGAGATTATACCAAAATTAAACCCACACCCGCCCGGACCCATTAACATTCCACCTGTTACCCGCCCATGTTAATTAAAATCATTCTAACTGAAGCATCCGTCCGGATACAAACTGAAAAGTTACGACTTTAAGAATCACAGTCACGAAATGAAATTAAACGGTTTCGCTTTCTTCAGTATGAATAGGCCCACAAATTCACAGACGTGACTCGAGTGTCAAAAATACAACATCACTTCACAGGTTTTATTTACTGAGCAGAAGAAACATTGATCGAGATGCAGGACTTTTGTGCCGCACATGCCACAGACTGAACCAGGACTAACTCAGAATTAAACCAGGATTAAACCAGGACTAACCTAGGACTGATTCCAGGACTGAACCAGGACTCACTGTTGGGATGAGCCTGGAGGTGCGCTGTGTAGACCATCGGGTGTCCGTGAAAGGATCGGCGTAGACCACCGCGCCCCGCAGAGGTAAGCACAGCCGTCGCCCGTTTGCACTTTGTGGAAACCCTGCTCCATGGGCTTGGGGTTCTCGCTTTTAAGTCCAAGATTAGTCTTGGTGTAGTTCTGGTTTAGTCCTGATTTAGTCCTGACCCACCCGTGTGTAATCTCTATCCTCCTGCATACCCACCTGTAAAATTCCAGAACGTTAAAACCCGCCCGTTTCAGCGACTATTTGTCCGAACCCACGAGTACCTGAGCCGATGCAGGACTCTGACCGGGACCTCCTCAGCTCTGACATGTGCAGCAGGAGGTAAACATTCACACCAAGATGGGTTCACTGATATTTGTGAGATCACAAACTCACGAGAATCCATTTTAACAGACTCCTGCTGTGTGGGAAGGTGGACCAATCACAGAGCAGCACTGAGGTTTGTGCAGACGCCAAAGGTGAAGCTCCTAAAGGAACCAAAACAACACCAACAGACGTACTTCAGTCTATTTTAACGTTAATAAAGATGATTTGGTTTGTGAAAGATGTGCAGAAAGAAGTGCTTTGTGCTTTTGTGGACAGAGAAGATGTCTGTGCTTTCCTCTCCGCTGTAAATAAACCTTGTGCTTTCATGTCTGGGTTTGTTTTAAAGACAGTAAAGTAGGAGATGTATTTACTTTGTTGATATGTTTCGACTGACAGCTGCTGCAATCTTCAGAACTGTCTCACAGCTTTCAGCCGAAACATGTCAACAAGGTAAATACATCTACTTTAAAAAAAAGAACTAAAGAAGTGGACGTAACTAAAGCTTGATTTTTCATCTTGTTCTGTTGTTGTGATGCTTCAACCAATCAGATTCAAATATTCGTCATGACGTTCTGCGTTTTCCGATTGCTTATAGTGAGATCCGTTTCAGATTGAAATGCAGAACTTAAATCAGGAGGTGGGGGCACATTTATTTGACCTGCTGCTCTGGTCCGTGAGTCTTTGTGTTGTTCTGTCCCGGGTCACAGACGTTCGTCCCTCCTGTTGTTTTTGTCTTTTACATTTGAACCTTTAAAGAAAATTAACTGAACTCCAGGATCATTTACTGCATGTGTAACAGCACTTCTCTCAAAAGACTCGTGCACTTCCCCAACATAAAGTAGTGCCCAGTACAATGAAGTCACATGATCCCAGAGGTCAAACAGGTTTACTCCAACACAAACAGTTGTTCACTGGTGTTGGTCTGATGATTGATGTACTCACGTTTATTGGCAACACATTAAACTTATATATTTTAAATGTATTAAACCTGACTAAATGTCAAATGTTTGGATGTTATAGTATTATAACTGACATGTATGTGCAGCACCTTTCAGTGAGCCACAGGGAACAAACTCAAAAAGCTGTGGGTGTGAGGGAGGAGCCAGACTGTAAGAGAGGAGCAGACACAGACACTTGAGAGGATTTGAGCTTTTAAGATGGAGTGTGTCCTGTGTACACTGCTCTCAGCTCTGGTTGTGCTCCTGTGTTCTTCCCCAGAGTGTAAAGGAGAAGACACAGTGACCCAGCCAACAGGAGACACCTCTGACACTCAGGGACACACAGCAACAATACTCTGTACTTTTACAACCAGCGACCCAACTCCATATTTGTACTGGTACAAACAAGAAGGACGAGGAGCTCCAAGATACATGATGACATTGGTTGCTAAAAGCGTAGTAAAATCTTCGGAGTTCAACAAACTCAAGTTTGATGCTGAGCTGAATGCAACCTTTCTGTCTCTGAAGATCCAGGATGTGGATGTGACAGACTCTGCTGTGTACTACTGTGCTCTGAAGCCCACAGTGACAGGAAACACCAAAACTCTGAACAAAAACCTCTGGAGCAAAGACAACACAATACTGCAGTAGCTCCACTAGAGGGAGACACTCTCTGTGAAGCTTCAGACTAAACACAGACGCAGCAAAGCCAACTGTCAGTGTGAGAAACTAAGCAGACTTCAGAAAGTTCACATGAGGATCACTCAGCTGTGTTTTGGACACATGTTTCCTTTAATGGCAGCACTGCTCCTGCTTTTGTTGAGTGGTAAGTCTTATTGAAACCTATGTTCACACTTTATTACATCCACTCAACACTTACTGAAGCACAGAGCAAGAAGCAGCAGGAAATATGTTCCTAACTTCTACATTCATTTGTTTTCATGTAGGAGTCAGATGTGAAGAGCTCACTGCTCTAAAGCCTGAGGTCTGCGCTTCAGAAGGCTCCTCTGTCTCTCTGGGATACTCTTATGAGAGAAAAGCTACTGGTGGTGATGTTTTCTTCTGGTATCGACAATATCCAGGAAAACCTCCTAAAGTTTTCTTCTCCCACACTGGAAATGGAAATATATTGCCAAATTCAAACCCTCGGTTTTCTCTAAATATCAGCAAAGACAGCAGACATCTCCATGTGCTGGTGTCGTCTGCTGCAGTGGGAGACTCTGCTGTGTACTACTGTGCTGTGAGGCCCACAGTGACAGCAAACCCACAGTCTCTGAACAAAAACCTGTGAGAAAAAACAGCAGTACTCCACACGTCCTCTAGAGGGAGACACTGTGTCTTTTAATTCTCAGCCAAACAAAAGGCACATTTAACTTCTTGAGTTCTTTTAAAAGACTTTACAAAGAACCCAAGAAGTTAAAGTACATAAAGAAGACAAAATGAATATCATTGGCTTAAAAGGCTCATTTTAATAAGAAATTTCCAAAGTGCTGCAAAGGTGGCAATAAAAGCAATAAGGCAGAGATTTTTGTGTTGGGCCTTACATTAAATATAAACAAATAAAATAATGAAAATGACTGGAATCGCTAAATGGAGATTTTCTTTTTCTAAACAGATTCATGTTTAAAAAACAAACAAACACTGGTGCGTAAAACAGAATAGGCTCTTTTACTCTACGGGGAATTAACACATCACATATTTAGATCAACATGTTCCTTTTATTGTTTTTCAGTCTTACTCTGTGTCCCACCTCTCTTTGCTCTCCATGCTAAGTCACTCCCCCATCAGAACGACATCACAGCACGATCCGCGTCCATCCTGCATGAAGCTCCTGCACATCGCATCAGGTTTGTGACGTCGTAGCGTGTTGTTTTGTGTCACGTTTTTGTATATTTATGGAGAAATGTCATATGGGAGCGCGGGCGACGTGACTGGGTGACGTAGGCTTGTGGGCGGAGCCTCGTACACGGCGCGTACTGCTAACTACCTGTAAGCAGGGTTCGAACAGGGCCCTGGAGAGATCGCTGGATTACTCAGACACGCATGGGTGACTCTAAAACCTCTTCAGTCCCGTTTTTGATGAGGAATCAATGTTCAAACATGGTAGAAAACACAAAACGCGCTCTTTAACTGTGGTTTATTTATAATCCTGTTTGAAAAGTGCGTCTACAGAGTTTTTATTTGCTTTTGTTCACTCAGGTTGTCACAGGTCAAAGACTTGTAGCTCCCAGTGCTCGGTGTGTTTAGTCTTGTGATGCACTCTAGTCCTGTCCAGCGAAAAAAAAAAAAAGTGCTGCATTATTGCAATGATACTGAACGAATTACTGAGCACCAAGAAAAACTGTTGGTGAAAGAAAAATACTACTGGGATTCCTGGGAATATGTTTTACAACTGCACAGAACTTTCCAACCATAAAAGATAGAAACTTACTTTTTTTTTTTCCTTGAAAAGCTGAGAGTTGAATCTTTCTGAGCAGATTTCCGGCATTTTCCTCCGTCACTCGCTGTGTGATGACGTCGGGAAAACGAGTGTCCAATAGGAGCTTTGTTTTGGGCCAAACTCAGTCGCTCCGTCCATTTTTGATTGGTCCAAACTTTGCCAAAGAGTGTAGTGAGTCAAAAAGGTCAATGCTCTGAGCATCCATGTTTGTAATAATTGAAAAAGTCGCTCTATTAAATATTATCATTGTTTTACAGCTTCACATTGATCCGACACGTTGTTGTGAAGCGTTGTGGTGTGGACGAACTGCAGAAGAGTCGATGTTTTCATCACATGTGGACTTCATCTATTTACAGACTTCAGATGGTCCAGAGGTACAAACTGTGACAGGGACCAGGACACAGGAGCAGATCACACGTGTCCTGGCTCCTGGTCCACTACAGGATTCATTTAAAGATCCTTTTGATTGTTTTTAAATATCTTCATGGACTGACCCGTCTTCTCCTGCCACAGCTGCTGGACGTTCATGTTTGTCCAGGAGACTCTGCACCTGCTCCTCCTGGACGAGCCTCAGACTCCCCCAAAAACCAGAGACTCAGCAACAGATCGACCCAAACTATAAACCTCACCTTTATGCACGGGCTTTTAATACAAGTTGGGCAGTTTTTCATAGTTTTATTGTATTTTTATGCCTTGACATTTAGTATTGTTATTTTGTGTCTTTTATATTGATTGTACTTTTTCTGTCGTTGATACTGTAAAGCGCTTTGGGCACCGTAGGTTGTTTTAAATGTGCAATATAAATAAAGTTGGCCTCAAACTTGACATCCACATTTAAATATTCAGCGTAAGATAAAAGTGTGAAACAAACGTTTGTAACTCTGTGACTTCTACAGTGAACTGTGGGAGGAGCATGTCCTCCAAAAAGGCCTGTGAGACTGGAGCAAAAAAAGAAGCAAAGAGTGTCACCAACTGAAATAAACACTTGTGAAGACTTTTTAAGATGGAGTGTGTCCTGTGTACACTGCTCTCAGCTCTGGTTGTGCTCCTGTGTTCTTCCCCAGAGTGTAAAGGAGAAGACACAGTGACCCAGCCAACAGGAGACACCTCTGACACTCAGGGAGAAACAGCCACAATACTCTGTACTTTTGAAGCCGGCTCCACAAATCCAACATTGTTCTGGTACAAACAAGATGGAAACAAGTCTCCAAAATTCATGTTAAGGAACTACAGAGCAGGATCAAGTTGGTTTTCTTCTAAATCTGATGAATTTACAGTCAAATTGAACACTAAGAATGGACAAAACTCTTCAGAACTGATTATCCAGGATGTGGATGTGACAGACTCTGCTGTGTACTACTGTGCTCTGAAGCCCACAGTGACAGGAAACACCAAAACTCTGAACAAAAACCTCTGGAGCAAAGACAACACAATACTGCAGTAGCTCCACTAGAGGGAGACACTCTCTGTGAAGCTTCAGACTAAACACAGACGCAGCAAAGCCAACTTTGAAATGTGACAGGTGTGACCTACGCTCCTGTCGCCCAACAACCGAGACACTCTGCAAACGACACACAGATCAATAACAAAGATTATGCATGGGTCATTAAACTGTCAGATTTTGAGACCAGGCTATTCTGATAATTCTCATCCAAATTTTATGGCTAAAAAAAATCTTATGTTTAACTTTTGCAAAACGATGTAAAAGAATGAGAACTTCACACATCAGTTACTAGAGACGGGTGTGACGGAGGAGAGGGAGCAGCCCAAGAACATTGAGAAAAATGTATTTTCTATCTCACAATTTGCAAGGAAGACGGTGTGTGGGAATTTTCTTTAACTTTTGCAAAACAAAACGACGATATTTGTGGGATACATCTAAAATAGGCTAAATTACCTTAAAGCAGGGGTCAGGAACCTTTTTGACTCAGAGAGCCATCAAAGCAAAATATTTGGAAATGTATTTCAGTGGAAGCCATATTATATATTTAAGACTGAATTCAACTAACTGTGAGTATAATACGAGTCTGAATTTATATTTTTAAATAATGTTGTTATAATATCAGACCAGAGCAGAAGCTCTGAGTTCGGGCAACAGTGCTAAACACACAGGAGCATCACCGGAGCGCACAGCTCCTCAAGACGGGTCTGGGGGTCCAGTGTTGGTCAGATAGTCTGGAGGCTCCATCCTCCATGTCCTGGTTCCAGACGGGGGTGAGTAAGACCAGCGCACAAAGGACTGGGTCTAAGTGCTTCAGTGCAGTCGTCTGTGCGCTGGTTCTGTGTGGGGAAAGTGAGAATGTGCTGTGGACCACAGGCCTGTGCGAGCTGCTCCGGTCCTCCACACTCGACCGCGGCTGGTTCTGAGGTGGTATAAAGCATCTGGACCAAAGCGTGAATCTTGTTTGGTTCGTTATGTTGTTCTGAGCGTCCGTCTGCACACGTGTTTTTTTTGCTGAGGAAAGTGCTTCTCAGGTGGAGGCACCAGACACCACTCCCCGCTTCAGTTCATCTGTTTCTTCTGCTGAAACACTTTTCATGTGTTGCATTCACACACAGCTGATGTTTCATGTCCATGAGCAGAGATGAACAAGAGCTCGGAGGTCAGTGATTTTGCCACTTCTTTAACAGATCTGTGGAGGGGCGAGCCGCTCACTAATGCATGTTTTTCAAGGTATTTTTGAGTAAAACTTACAACTGTAATGAAATAAACTCTACAGTCTTGAGTCTAATCCAGCTGCGCCCAGAGACTCGGTGTAGTTCTGACGGCGTTCGAAGGCGTATTTATGTGGCTTGATGTAAACGAAAACTTTTTTGAAAACAATGCTTTGTGCACGATGTTATTTTGGTAAACGGAGGGAGGGAAATATTTGTTTCTCAAAATACCCGGCTCTGTGTAAACGAAGCCTAAAACAAGTGAGAATATTTCATGTTTTATTGGTGAGCCAGATGCAATCATCAAAAGAGCCACATCTGGCTCACAAGCCGTACGTTCCAGATCCCTGCCCTAAAGTTTAAAAAAACAGTGATGAGATCTGCATTATTACATATTATTATCATTGTTTACAGCGCCACATTGATCCGACACGTTGTTGTGAAGCGTTGTCGGTGTGGACGAACTGCAGAAGAGTCGATGTTTTCATCACATGTGGACTTCATCTATTTACAGACTTCAGATGGTCCAGAGGTACAAACTGTGACAGGGACCAGGACACAGGAGCAGATCACACGTGTCCTGGCTCCTGGTCCACTACAGGATTCATTTAAAGATCCTTTTGATTGTTTTTAAATATCTTCATGGACTGACCCGTCTTCTCCTGCCACAGCTGCTGGACGTTCATGTTTGTCCAGGAGACTCTGCACCTGCTCCTCCTGGACGAGCCTCAGACTCCCCCAAAAACCAAAGACTCAGCAACAGATCGACCCAAACTATAAACCTCACCTTTATGCACGGGCTTTTAATACAAGTTGGGCAGTTTTTCATTGTTTTATTGTATTTTTATGCCTTGACATTTAGTATTGTTATTTTGTGTCTTTTATATTGATTGTACTTTTTCTGTCGTTGATACTGTAAAGCGCTTTGGGCACCGTAGGTTGTTTTAAATGTGCAATATAAATAAAGTTGGCCTCAAACTTGACCTCCACATTTAAATATTCAGCGTAAGATAAAAATGTGAAACAAACGTTTGTAACTCTGTGACTTCTACAGTGAACTGTGGGAGGAGCATGTCCTCCAAAAAGGCCTGTGAGACTGGAGCAAAAAAAGAAGCAAAGAGTGTCACCAACTGAAACAAACACTTGTGAAGACTTTTTAAGATGGAGTGTGTCCTGTGTACACTGCTCTCAGCTCTGGTTGTGCTCCTGTGTTCTTCCCCAGAGTGTAAAGGAGAAGACACAGTGACCCAGCCAACAGGAGACACCTCTGACACTCAGGGACACACAGCAACAATACTCTGCTATTTTGAATTTAGTGAATTTGTTAATAATTACTTGTTTTGGTACAGACAGAAAAATCGAGACACTCCAGAGTATATTTTACAGAGGGGCCCGCTGGGAACGAATGCCAACTCTCCAAAGTTCAACAAATACAAGTTTGACGCTGAGCTGAAGGGAAACTCTTCCTCTCTGAAGATCCAGGATGTGGATGTGACAGACTCTGCTGTGTACTACTGTGCTCTGCAGCCCACAGTGACAGGAAACACCAAAACTCTGAACAAAAACCTCTGGAGCAAAGACAACACAATACTGCAGTAGCTCCACTAGAGGGAGACACTCTCTGTGAAGCTTCAGACTAAACACAGACGCAGCAAAGCCAACTGTCAGTGTGAGAAACTAAGCAGACTTCAGAAAGTTCACATGAGGATCACTCAGCTGTGTTTTGGACACATGTTTCCTTTAATGGCAGCACTGCTCCTGCTTTTGTTGAGTGGTAAGTCTTATTGAAACCTATGTTCACACTTTATTACATCCACTCAACACTTACTGAAGCACAGAGCAAGAAGCAGCAGGAAATATGTTCCTAACTTCTACATTCATTTGTTTTCATGTAGGAGTCAGATGTGAAGAGCTCACTGCTCTAAAGCCTGAGGTCTGCGCTTCAGAAGGCTCCTCTGTCTCTCTGGGATACTCTTATGAGAAAGAACCAGAATATGATGAGTATTTCTACTGGTATCGACAATATCCTGGAAAACCTCCTAAACTGTTCTTCTCTCACACTGGAAATGGAAATGTATTGTTAAATTCAAACCCTCGGTTTTCTCTAAATATCAGCAAAGACAGCAGACATCTCCATGTGCTGGTGTCGTCTGCTGCAGTGGGAGACTCTGCTGTGTACTACTGTGCTGTGAGGCCCACAGTGACAGCAAACCCACAGTCTCTGAACAAAAACCTGTGAGAGAAAACAGCAGTACTCCACACGTCCTCTAGAGGGAGACACTTTCTGATTCTGAACTTCAGCTGAGAGCGCACACCATCACAAAAGCCTCAAGACGTGTGAGAGGAGCCAGACTGTAAGAGAGGAGCAGACACAGACACTTGAGAGGATTTGAGCTTTTAAGATGGAGTGTGTCCTGTGTACACTGCTCTCAGCTCTGGTTGTGCTCCTGTGTTCTTCCCCAGAGTGTAAAGGAGAAGACACAGTGACCCAGCCAACAGGAGACACCTCTGACACTCAGGGACACACAGCAACAATACTCTGCTATTTTGAATTTAGTGAATTTGTTAATAATTACTTGTTTTGGTACAGACAGAAAAATCGAGACACTCCAGAGTATATTTTACAGAGGGGCCCGCTGGGAACGAATGCCAACTCTCCAAAGTTCAACAAATCCAAGTTTGACGCTGAGCTGAAGGGCAAACTCTTCCTCTCTGAAGATCCAGGATGTGGATGTGACAGACTCTGCTGTGTACTACTGTGCTCTGCAGCCCACAGTGACAGGAAACACCAAAACTCTGAACAAAAACCTCTGGAGCAAAGACAACACAATACTGCAGTAGCTCCACTAGAGGGAGAAGCTTCAGAGTAAAGGGTGGAGTATAGTTTTGCGTCGACTCAGCGCACACTCCCGCCGTCGTTTTTGATTTCTGGGTCTGTGTCGAGGTTTATGCGCCGCAAAGTGATGCACCGCCACAACACTCGGAGACGCTGAGTCGTGACATGGCATGAACTCGTTGGTGGAGTGTTGTTTATCTTCTGGGGTCATCGAACAATGGCGACTGAGCTGGAGAGGACGCTGATGGAGTTGGTGCTGATATCGAGAAACAAATGCTTCTGGTACAAACGTTGGCAAAGGAAGAAGGAGGAAGATTTAAAAACGGTGTTCACGTTTGGAGAAGCAGAAATGCGTGCGGAGCGGATGTAGAGACGACCAATCACAGCTCTTACTGTCTGCATCGGTTCAATGCGTAGTTACAACATTTCGGAGGTGCATGTCGGTCGATGCAGACGCTCTGCGGAGGGGTTCACGTGACGCAGATGATTTGACGCTGGACTGTAAATTGTCTTTTAAGTTTAAGATGTAGAACAGACATGTCAAACTCAGGCCCGGAGACCAAATTTGTCCCGCAATATAATTATATTTGGCCCGCGAGATCATATCAAATACGTATTAGAGCTGCCCACCGCACACAGATAAACTATAGAGACATGATTTATTTAAAATGTTGTTATTATTTTATTTTCTGTTTGTTCTGGATTCAATGTTTAAGTAAAACTATTATTAAACATTTATTTGAATAAGAAAAAAATAAATATTTAGTTTGGCCCACGACGTTGTCCCGGTTTTTAATTTTGGCCTCTGTGAATTTGAGTTTGACTCTCCCGATGTAGAAGATCATCAGAAACACAAAACGCTATGTCTTCTGTTGTACAGCAGCCACCGTTCAATTCTTCAGTTATAAACTTAGACTTGAGATTCTAGTGATAAAAGCAGATTATTTATGCACACACACATCTATATATATATCTGTATTTATATTTTGTGCATTTACGCGCACAAACACACGACTTTACTTTACAATCCCTGTGTGTGCACGGATGTTACTCATACAATAAAAACAGTTAATAAAGTTGCTCTAAAACAAGCTGAATCCTCGCTCAACTTCAACACATGCATCATGAATTTCGGTCATTGTGTCTATTGACAAAGTCGATCTTTTCAAGTCTTTTGAACCATTTCACTTTTGTTTCTGGTTCTGATATTGTCATATTTTAGTTTTGGGATTTGAACATCGTTAATTGTGTGGTTGTTGGATCCTAACAGCAGAAAACGACTCGAGAAATTTGTTTGCGAACTCCATAAATGCAAAAGTGAATCAGATGTGTGTGACTCAAACAGTGTTGGGGAGTAACAGATTACATGTACTGGAGTTACGTAATCAGAGTACAAATTATGAGTAACTGTATTCAGTTACAGTTACTGTTTCAGTGAGTGGTAATTGGATTACAGTTACTTGGTTAAAATAAATGGATTACACAGAGGGATTTTCCTGTTTTCACATTTTGGGCTATTCCCTTTTTTTTTTTTTTTTCTTCAATAATTCCACTCATTGCCGGACAATAAACCAGGTCTAAACCAGGTCTAAACCCAGGTCCAAACCAGTTCTAAACCTGGTCTAAACCAGGACTAAACCAAGACTAAACCAGGTCTAAAACAGGTCTAAAACAGGATTTAAGAGGACTAAACCATGCTGCGCGGACCATGTCTCCTCCTCTTCTAGCAATAATATTTTTAATACGTTTAAGTAAAGTCTGGACTTTTCATTGTCTTTTAGCAGATAAAACTTCTTATGTTATGATTTCCTTGTCTTTGTTTCTCTACAGCAAATCAAATAATCCAAAGTATTCAGATTACATTACTCACTTTAAGTAACTTAATGAATTCCGTTACAAACTACATTTTGGTGTGTGTAATCTGTAATCTGTAGGGGATTACATTTTAAAAGTAAACTTCCCAACACTGGACTCAAACCTCCGTTCAAACTGTTTCTCTTCCCAATGGAATTGAAAAATAGTGAAAGGTGAAGGTGATGGGCAGGATTGATCCACAGGAAGAACCAAAAAGGAAACATTTGTCTGACTAAATCATCCCGAGTTTACAGAGAACATTTTGTATGTGGAGCGACAACCAAGTTCACCTTTCACTATTTTTTTTATTCCGTTGGGAAGAGAAACAGTTTGAACGGAGGTTTGAGTCACACACATCTGATTCACTTTTGCATTTATGGAGTTCACAAACACATTTCTCGAGTCGTTTTCCGCTGTTAGGATCCAACAACCACAACAATTAACGATGTCCGAATCCGAAAAATAAAATATGACAATATCAGAAGCAGAAACAAAAGTGATATGGTTCAAAAGACTTGAAAAGATCGACTTTGACAATAGACACATCCCACTGGGAAAACAAACATGGAGGTTTGATGCTCACTTTTTCGGAAAATCCTTCCCAGTATGAACTGAGCGATGACCGGAAGTCCGAAATTTGTGATGCATGTATACGGATTCCTCATTTCCTCCTCGTGTCCTCACTCCTTCGCGTTGTTTTTATCTCCATGAAGTCACAGAGGAGAGTATCGCGGCAGGACTCACGTCTGTCTCATTATTTAATAGATATTTCTGCCGCTGGACTTTCTCCGTTAAATCGTTGGCTCTGCTCCACATGTAAACAGGCGTGTGATGACGTCCACGTGGCTCGGTTCAGTTCAGCAGGTGTGAGAGCGGAACATAGAACCCACAGAACATAGAACCCACAGAACATAGAACCCACAGCAGTCGAGCTCGAGCACGGCACAGTCCCACAGTCCTAGTGTGAGTCGCCCTTAGACTAGATATTTTCCCAAAGGCCGGCCTATGTTCTTTTAGAAAATGACTGTTTCCCACGGTGATCAGTGAGGACATTTTCCTGTCACAGTCCGTTCTCCTCTGTGGCTGAAGTTTTCTCAGATCGAGAGCTCTGCACAGGCCCAAACATCTTATGATCTAATGGAGCGCAAAGTATAATAGGTTACAGTAACACACATTAATATTATTCATGTCAGAAAAGCAGAATGTTTGAAAAATACTGAAGTGTCACTACTCCGACAAAGAAAAAAAGGGACTTTTGAAAAATAACTCAGTGTCTAAAAACAGCGACATGTCGGAATCGCAGCACAGAACCACATTTAGGTTTAATATCTTGTACAAACTCATTCCAAACTTTAAATGTGAAATTCTCAGGAATGTTTGCTCATATCAACACAAAATAAAAACTGTAGTGATCCTGACACTCTGCTCTTTACGCCTGACTGTGTTTTCAATAACATCAAAAAAACTGAAGACCGAATCGAAAACTGAGATTGATCAATATGGAGAAGAAAATTGTGATTCTTTTTTTTTCCCATATTGCCCCACCGTACGTACCTGTGTAATAAACTCATCACTTACCAGGTTCAATAAAACGTAACTCAGCTTTGTCTCCAACAATCCATTGAGCCGTGCACGTGCGACACCTTCAATCAGGACAGACAGAAGATTATCTGTGTCTCGTCTCCGTCTGTCATCACTGCTCCGCTCTGTTTTTATCTCCGTAAACTCACAGAGGAGTGTGGATCATAAAAGGACACAAATCTGCCTCATTATTGAACAAATATTTCTGCCACTTATTTTCTCAGCTAAAACTGTTAACACGTTAAACTATTGTGCCTCTGTTAACATTATTATTAATTTGTACGACCATAAACGGAAAAAAAGAAGAAGATGAGAACTAGGAAGAAAGTGATTGTGTTTTTTTTGGTCGAGGTTTTGTTTTGTGGAACAATCGGAGTCATGATTTTAAACAGTCCAACACTGTAGAAACCTTTAAAAAGAGTTTAAGGGTTTTGTGTTTTGGAAAATACGGAGCTCTGGAGTTGATGAATTGTGCATGTGAGTTTTGTTTGTTTTAATTTATATTTTTGTCTCTTACATGTCCAGTGAGTGAAATTGTGAATGCAAACTTATTGTTCATGCGTTTGGTTTCTTAGTTTCAGTTGGGACCCTTCCAGTCGTGACCCATGTAGTCGTGGTTTATGTTTTGTTTTGTTTTTGTAATGCTGCAAATTATTCAGTTATTTAAAAAAAAAAAAAAAAAAAAGCATTTGCGTTGATGACATCTTCGCCCGTGGTTCAGTTTGGATGTGCACGTGTGAGTGTGGAACATAGAACCCTACACCATCGAGCTTGAGCATAGCAAATTTCTGAAGTCCCAGTGTGAGTCGCTCTTAGTGAGACTCGGCTCAATCATTACAGAGAACGAATGAAGAGGGAAATGCGGCTCGGAACTTTCTGAGAGAATCATTACTACGCAGACGCCTGTGAAAAGACTCCAGAGACGTTTATCACAACGACCAGAAGTCCTGCCCTGTAGAGCTGTGGAA